ACCACTAGGCCTTCCTCACTGTGCTATTACAAAGTCCAGCTAAATTTGGCAATACAATTCAGTTAATCCCTATTGCATCATCCTTTTACTTCCTGATAGTTAGAAGATCAGACATAGTATCATCTAAAGGCATTACTATACAAAATAAATTTTAAGCAGGTGTTAATGTGGAAAATCCTGTTTGGTGTGGTGGCTCATTACAAAGTCAACACTGAGGCAGAACAGAGCTTTGCAGGTTTCAGCACCATATTTTATATGTTAATTAAAGAGGCCCTGTCACCAGACCATTAATTGCAGCATAACATATTTTATACATGTTATTTTCCTATAAAAGCCTCCCTTGTTTAGACATCCAAAAGCCCTGAGACAGCTGCTGGGCACCACCCTCTTCTATGTGATGTCAGCAGCCCCAGAGCTGTCATTCAAGTGGTACTTTGGAGCATTACTGCTTACTCTTCCCCCAGCTGGTATATAAAAGTTTACATAGGGAGGCTAGGAGAAGGGCCAAGGAGCTGGCCCAGCACAGAGAGACATTCTCAGAAGAGGAGAGGGCTATGACATACAAGGAGGCAGGAGGCTGTGTTTGGGAATTGGCTATCCTGGAGTAGTCAAATATTCTAGCAAGTTCATAGGCACACTGCAAGTGAATGTAGAATCATTTATTGAAAGGAAAGTGGGTTCTTAAAATGTTATATTGATTAATGACATTAGTACTATTTTCTCTCTGGGGACTCAAAACACTAAGGAGTTGAGGCAACTTTTTTGGGCATACTCAGTTGAGCCAATTACCCAGCATGTCTTTTGGAGTGTGGGAGAAAACCAGAATACCCAGAGGAAACCCACGCAAGCGTAAGAAGAACATGCAAACTCCATGCTGATTCAGAAGTTTCAATAAGCCGCTGTGCTGCCCTACCCAATTTTTATGTGCATTTTTTTTCAGTTGGTGACAGGGTCTCTTTACCAGACTCCATGAATAAAATACACACTGGTGTCAAAAGGGGGAGCACACACTACATTCTTGCCAGGGGTGTCCCGAGGCTGGGTGACACACGGAGCGGTAACCGAGTGTCACCCCGCCGCGACGTCACTGCACATGACTTTACCGCGCGTACAGCTGGCTCTGCCTCTATATAGGCAGAGCCAGCTGTCAGTCACGCAGCTGGGCGGATCCCGGCACAATTGTCGGGATCCGCTACAGCATCTCAGTATACCGCGAGCAGCAGCTCACGGTATACTTAGCCTAGGGTGACGGGAGGACGCTAGTTTGTGTCCTCACGTTACCCTAAGGAGAACTATGGGGAAAAGCCTTAACCCCATAGTTCTCCTTTAAGTTCTATGTGCACAGCGCGGTGAGATGCAGTGTGAACTATGCTCATCTGAGACAAGACAAATTGTCTTGTGTTGGTGTTGTGCTGTAAAAAACGGCCAGTGCAGCATTGCATTTGGTGTGAATCAGCCCTTATTGTTGCTACCATCCTGTTACAGGCAATATTAGTACTACAAGTTTATTATGTGACAATAATAGCACCAATGCCAAAAACAACACATTACCTAATACTGTCCTGCTGGAAAATTAAGAATGGATGTCATTATTAGTACTACTATTTATGTTTTTTTAGTAAGTGTAAAACTAAAATAAATGTGTTACATTAATGCCATAATGTGCTGTTCCACACTCCAAGCTCCCCAAGCTTAAATAACTACAAGAAACATGGGCTTTGGACACTTTGCATGTCTAGGGCTATTGTGACATTCTGGAGGGTCACTTTGAAGTATGGGCTGTTTCAATTGTTATTTATTACATTACAGGTATTTATATAGTGCTGACAATGTACGCAGTGCTTTACATACTGCACATTCACATCAGTCCCTGCCCTCAAGGCGCTTACAATCAAGGGTCCCTATCTGACATGCATACATACAGGGCCAATTTAGAGGGGAGCCAATTAATCTACCAGCATGTCTTTGGAGTGTGGGGGGAAGGCAGAGTACCCGGAGGAAACCCATGCAAGCACAGGGAGAACATAAAAACTCCATGCAGATAGTGATCTGACTGGGATTCCTAGTGCTCAAGGCAGAAGCGCAACTCCGTGCAGCCCACATATATTTTAATATTCAATAAATGCCAAAAAGTATCTCTGCCTCTGTCACAAGTGTCATTTGTAAACCACAGATAGTGAACACCTCCATTAGAGCAAAGTAAGTCAATCACAGAAACAAGGCCTAAATCTGCTTCAATCGTCATGCTCCCTGCATTTTCACAGTAGATACGGTGTGGACCCATGTGATTTACGGATGAATTTTATCAGTGAGTGATGCCACGCTCCTCTGAGGAAGCTCTCACAGACAAAACAAGCCAGTTAGCCACATGGCGAGAGTACCAGGACCCACGGCGGCACATGTTACTCCCCAGGGATGTGCCATCAGCGATGGAGATATTGAATGAAGGACAGGTACTATATCTGGGGACAATCCAATCACAGTAAGAGCTGTGAAAATGTGGAACAGGCTACCTCTAGTCAGCTGTGTTAATTGTCTTTTAAAAAAAAAAAAGCTGAATGCTTCCCTATATGCACAAAATATTACTGGGTATTAACATTTACAAGTAATAACACCAAAGGTTGTTAATCCAGGCAATATCTTAACCCCTTTAGATGATCAGGAAGGAATTTTTTATTCCCCGTTGGAGCAAATTGTTTTTTTTTTGCCTTCCTCTGGATCAACTATGGGGAACTGTAGGTATAAGGTTCTGTTTATGGAGGTTTTCTATTTATTTACTCATATTTTATCTCTGTTGGTTGAACTCAATGGGACTTGTGTTTTCTTTTCAACCTAACTATATATCTAGATAATATATACGCAGGAATCTATTTTTGACTGCTATATAAAATCCCTTTCTAAGAAGACTGGAGACTGCACTGTTGTTTGGGTACCTGTATGCACACTGCATTAACATTTACAAACTTAGAAATCCCTGCTATGCCCATTAAGTTTTGACAGAAGATATACAGCTTGACTCATAAAGTAATGACTCTTTAGACATACTTGGCACATATACAGCTGGTAGATTTGTTGGTGGCATATTTATGTGTGCATGGTATGAACAAGCCTGGATTGATTCCAGATATTGGATCAGGACTGAAATAAGTTTGTTTCCAATGACTATAAGTTTGTGTTGACCCTATATGGTGGGTTTTTCAAAACAGCTACAGACCTTGGACTCACATTTGTTTCTTGGGCATTTATTTGAACTCAAGCTTGTAAAAGTACTACAACTGTGATTGACTAGAGACATCCTTTCCATTCCTAATTGCTGGATACAACATGTGGACTTACTGCAACATGCCAGCTGATTATATGTCAACAGTGAAATAGAATAGGAGCATGACAATTGAAGCAGATTCAGATCTTGTTTCCATGCTTGACTTACCTTGCTCCAGAGATTTTCATTTTCTTTCAATTACAAGTGACATTTAGGGGTCTATTAATAAACAATTTTTTATTTCAATAATAAATGTAATACTGTTAATATCTGTGAACATTGTTTTCTGTGCAGATATATGCCAAAACAAATGTTCTTTAGTTGTTCCTTAACAAAGCAATATCGTTTCACATTTTTTCATGTAACACTGCATTATGGTCCCTGGATGGCACTTAGGAGCATAGAAAATCAATATTTATTTCCTGGGCTACTTAGGCACCAGCTAATGGGCACAATGGGATATTACATGAAAACATTTGAAACCTCAATGCACTAACTAAAAAAAATTGTTCTGTCATATATTCACACAGAAAGAATGTTCACAGACCCCATAATGTCAATTTTGGAACTGCTTTGGTAGAACTTTTTTGCAATCTCTGAATTACATATCACTCTTGTGATAACCAAGTATTCAGTGTGGATAAAGCATATTACAGTCTTTTGTTCCTGTGGGTGACCAGCTTGCCTTGGACACAACAAAACCAGCATGCATTCATAATGGATCAATATCCAGTTTATGTGCCTGATATGGGATTTGAAGCACAAGAGTGAGCTGTAATACTGTGCTTTTTTTTGAATGCATATCATATACTGCAATATGTTTAACAAAATATGTACAGTATATTTATTATATACAAGATGCACGGCCCTGCAAATATTGTAATTGTTTTTAATAATGTGGTTCTGTGCAATAAAGAAATGTGTTTATTTTTTACATACAGTGTATAGTATTCAGTCACTTGGCCAGTAGTCATTGGCCAAGTGACTATTATTGGAATTATTTTTTACATAGCTTCCTGTTAACATTCTCATATAGGGAACATTTTAAAAAGAACTAAAGTCAAACTTTTTTAGGCTTTAGTCCTCTTTTGGGTCACAGGAGTACATTTACTAATGTACTCCTGTGACCCAAAGTCAGCATCTAGGGGGCTACTTCCTGCTATTTTCTGTCAGCGCAGAGCTGTGCTGCATCCGGGAAAGATCCCGACAATATTGTTGGGATTCACTCCCCTGCCTGATTGACAGCTGGCTCTGCCTCTCTAGAGCCAAAGCCAGCTGTGCCTGCCCCCTCCCCTGTCTCTCCCTGCAATGAGTGCTACAGAAACAGAGAGAGGAGAGGGGGGAATACCTGCAGGGGGTGGTGACTGACAATTACCACTCTCTGCAGGTAGAAGACCGGATCTTGAAGACCTATAGATCGCTCAGTTCTTGAACTATACGCTGGCATGTGACACCTGCAGTGTCACACGCCGGCTCTAAATATTGGAAGGAGTACATTTTACTCTACCAATACTTCTCCTTTAACTCTAGAGTGATCACAAACATTGGATGCTGTCATGTGATCATTTCCATAGTCAATCTACATTAGTTCTAGTTTTTCCATACAAAGTAGAATCTTACCTTTAATTGTATATATACATGTTACTGTGAACACAGCCACAAAAAGAGACACCAGCACAAACACCTGAAAAAAGGAAAGGACACAAGTTTTTACAGTGTGTAGAACAACTTAAGGCAGTTATGAAGTAATATTGTAGAGGTGACCTCCTACACGTACCATAGGGGAGTGCAGCAAGGAATTCCAGACGTCATTCACTTGTAGGTAAAGTAGTACAAGAGTACAAGGACTAATGCCCTCGTCACTGCTGTGATTCTGGCACCTGCAAAGTCCAGCACAGACATTACAGTTATTAACAATATGTTCCAAGAAGGATTACATTTATTATTGTAAGCTACGTGGAGTACAAAAAAATAATGTTATTACTGTAAAAAAGAAAGTCAATGTTATCATCTAAATCTTGTAATTTGTAAATGTTTGCCAAATCAGTCTCCTTCCCTGTCTGAAATAATTACTGCCAATAACACTCAGACAACTCAAGCACCTCCAGATCCAGGGTAATCTTTCGTAATACTCACTCATTTAAACCTCACATCTCCATCTAGCCTTCTTCCGTCCTCTCTAGGTTGAAGGAAGCCTGTCACGAGGGAAGGAGGGAAGCTACAACTGCTGATGTCTCCTTCTAAAAATAGGCTAGCTGCCTGACTGATAGTGCCATCCTTATTTAACCACTTGAAGACCAGGTGTTTAGACCCCCTTCCTGGCCAGGCCATTTTTCAGTGTTCAGCGCTGCAGTACTTTGACTGACATTTATTCCGTCATGCAACGCTGTACTGAAATTAATTTTATACCATTTTTGGGGGACAGATAGAGCTTTCTTTTGGTGGTATTTAATCACCACTGCAGGTTTTATTCTTTACTATATTCAGGAGAAATTACTGAAAATTTTGAAAAAAAAAGAAGTTTTTTTTAACATTATGTTATAAAACAAAGGGGGAGTGGGAGAGCCGCGGAGGGCGCATGTCTCGGGGCCTCATACAAGCGATCCGCCGGCTCTATAGCCGGCGGATCGCTTGTATATTAACGGGCATCGCTGACTCTTTTCAAATAGCGGGGATTTCCCGCTCTTGCGCGCCGCGCCCGTGCGGGCGGTTGTAACAGGACGTGTATACACGCCCAGTTACATACAAGAAGCTCCCGGCCGGCCGTGTATACACAGCGGCTGGCCGGGAGGTAGTTAATATATTTAAGTCATTGAGTTGCATAGTGGTTCATTTATTAACAATTAGCCGGACGGATGCTGTTCGCACAGCATTAGCACCCCTAGATGGTGAGTATAGGAATTTCTTATACTTGTCAGTGCCATCTAGAGGAGCTACTGCTGTGCGAACAGAATCCGCCTGGCTTTATGTCGGACAGAACTTTTAGAAATTAACCTAAGCGTGCACATAAAAAGCTCTTTCTTGACCTGCAAACTGCAATGCAAGTATCTCTGTTGAAGTCAGTGGGTCAGCCAGGCAACTAGCATTTTCTGGACTCTGACACTTATAATATTCTCTTTTGTATCTTGTCCATGGTGTAAATGTTTTGAAATGATATTTTGCCATTTTGAAATTCTATCTTCTTTCATTTTTATGTATGTGTATTATATGTATTGCTTATCTGTGTTAGTTTGCAACACTTACTTTATTCTATGAAAAGGGAAGAAGCACAATATATATTTTATGTTGTTTCTAATAATAATTATAATCATGGCTGGGATATTGGTCACAAGAGTTATAAGTACAACCAGGCCTGTGTTTTGGACAAACTTACAGTTTAAAAAATGGTAGAAATTAACTGTAGGCCTGAATGCATGGTACCCAAATACATATGGTGCCTCAAAATTGACTGTTCTAATTCCCACTTCTGTCAGATGCCAAAGCCTTTACTGCCCACTGAGGTTCTGGCATTTGAAGAATGACAAATAAATGATGTAGGGGCTGGGCTTAACGCTGGGACTTATACTCAACATGGGCAATGTTTAGGACCCAAGTTCAACCTTGGCCTAGAATGCAAGGCTGCTCTGCAAGTTTGGCAAGAACAAGGTAGGTGCATGTCTACATTGTTGTCACACTTTAAGGGCAGGTCAGGTTCACTTGAAAGAATGTTGAATTTACCACCCATAAAGCAATCTGGTGAAGCATCTTGGGACATACTAACGTACTTTATAAGGGTCTGCACCTTTTGCAGATACTGGATATAATTGTTTCTATTGAGCAATAATGCTACCACTAATTTACCACTATTTCTGGCCTGTTAGGAATGAAGAGAAACACATGCCTACTTGTGGTGGTGATCCTGGGACTATGTTACCACCACATTTATTATTAATAACAGTTACAGTATAGATCTCCCTTGGCAGTGTACAGCTGCTATACAAAGCCCAAAAGGTAGCATTTACAGTACATACTGTAGATGTATTGGCGCTCATTTGTCTGTATAAACTCTATGCATGGTACAATTATGAACAGGACTATGACAAAAAGCACTGACAGCTGTCCAAGGCCAAACTGAAAGTCTCTGGTAGGGTAAGGAATTCTACAATGGCTCACCATGCCCTGTAGTGGCAATATGGCCTGCAATGATAGCAGTGTTAGACCAGAAAGGTCCCCTAGCTTGTACCTCTCTAGCCAAACTAAAGCCAATACTTACATAAAACATAAACAGCCTATTACAACAAGCAGTACTCTTGATTTGGAGCCCATCATGCTCAGGGAGATTTAATGCGGGGACATCACTGTTCACTTATTAACTAGCTCACCTCCAACACTGGACTTAAGTGCTGTCTACTCCACCTTTGGGCAGAACTAATGTAGAATTACAGTGCAACCTTTTTTTTCTTAGTTTTGGATAGAATGGTGAGGGGTCAAACCCTGTTAGGTTTTTTATTAGTGTCCCCCCATTAGGGAGATTCACCCTCTTTATTTGTCCTGCTGGCCATTATAACTGAAAGTGCAAAAAAACTAACTATTTTTGGGTTGTAATCAGAACATAAATACATAAACAGATGGGAAATCTTCCAATGGAGACACTAGCTTTGGTAACCCTGCTGACCACCAGGACTTTCCCCCTTTTTGGAGGGATTTCCTTTCACTTCCTGTTGTCGAACAGGAAGTGACATCTCCCCAGTGGGAGACAGATGGCAACCAAAAGCTGGCAGGGTATAACCCTTCCTTACTCTATCTAAAGCCAAAAAAAAAGTTATTGCTTCAGTTCTACTGTAGCTCTACTAAGCTACGGTAGTATATGCAATAATAGCCATATCGGTTCTATATTACACTGACCTGGTATATATTTCACTGCAATAATAATATTTATACATTTCAGAAATAATAAGTGTCAGAAAGAAAACCTTTCATAGAGCTCTATCACAAGCGTGTGCTTGTCCCCAAACACAGATGTGCTCAACTTCAAATGTCTTAACATATATTCATGAACGGTGATTCCCTCTTGGATAAGTTGAGCTAAGTTGAAAAAGCCCTGAAACAAAAAACACAAAATAAATTCAGGCACAAAACAGAAAAAAATAATACTATGGCTAATATTAAAAAAATAGAACCACCTGGCACTACCTTAGATAATACTTAATTCAATACCCCACTAAATGGCAACGCTTCTGATGCCACTCCAAACATCCACACTGAATGGTGTTGCCAACCCAAGAAATATACACTAATGCTAGTCTTTCCCCAGAACACACATGGACAATAGTATAATACAAGAAATGGAGGCCAGAAAGCAAGATGATAACATCAGCTCAGCCTTCACCAGTAAGGTCCAAGTCAATCAACCTTGCCCTTTGGAAGGAATGCTTTTGATGAAAATCAGACTTACAGAAGGCTATGTATTACCTGAGCATCCCCAAGTGCTGCTGCCTGTGTGTACATCTTTCCTGACTCTTCCAGATCTCTATGGTGACTTTCCCCACCATAATAATACATATCACCCATCTTTAATAAAGCTGTGAAAAAAAAAAAGGAGTCATGTATGGTCCTGTGAATATTATTACTCTAATACAGAACACGACAACACTGAAGAGATAAGTATATTAATCATGTATTTAGAACATCTTTATCTATAGTAACCGTCATATTTATAAAATGCCATAATAAATAAATCCCTACCAGATCAATACAATATAAAGGGGATTATGAACAAGAAAAAGCTCCATATTTCTAACATTTCCTGGCACATAATTGGCTTTATATATTCCCTTCAGTTTACTCTATTTCACCACATTTCATAGTTTAGTGAATCAGGCCAAGGTACTTGCGAAGTTAAAGTGTATTTAAGGCCTCATTCACACACAATGCAAGCAAAATTGTATATTGCGTATATACGCGTCTATACGAGCGTCTATGAGGGTATATACGAGCGTATGTGCGTATATGCGTGCACTATTTGCATTCCCAGAATGCATAATTCCTAATGGAAATTTTAATAAACTGTACGCACATAAGCGCGTATACATGCGCAAACATGAGTATGCCCGTAAAATACGCAGAAATACACTGTTGGCTATGTGTATGGAGCCATTTATTTGCATATGTTGCATATGGTACAATACGCACGTACGCGCGGATACGCTCGTATATGCGCGGCAGTGTGAATGAGGCCAAAAGGCAATTTGTTTTAGTTTTGGACAGAGTGGGGAAGGGTTAGATCCTCTGTCCATTTTTTATTGCTGTGGGTGTCACCTCTGGGGAGATTCTCGCTTTCTATTTGTCCTTGTGACTTTTGTCACAAAGTGGGGGAAATCCTTCATCTTATAGCCGTCACCAGAACAAAGGGTAAGGGTAAATATTGCAGTAGGGACACCTGTCCAGTGACCACTGTCTAAGATGGGAGTACTCCTCACTTTAGATGATGCAGTAGATTTACTAAAGGCAAATAGGCTGTTCACATTGCAAGGGAACTTTCTCTTAGCTTAGTGAATGAGGTCAAGCTCTGCTGACTTCCATCATCCAATTATGTGCAAGCAAAAAATATTTTTTTTAATTTTCCATGCACGTGATTGGATATTCATTGCAAAGCGAATATTCACCACATTCACTAAGCTAATGGAAAATTCCCTTGAAAAGTGAACAGCCTATTTGGCTTTAGTAAATCAACCTTAGAGTCTTCATAGCAAAAAGTGAAGGGGGATCTCCCTAACGGGTCACAGACAGCATAATATAAGCTGACTGGCGGTTTCAAACCTTCCCTACTGTATCCAAAATAAAAAAAAAAAAGGTTTCAGCTGTTCATACACTTTAAATATCAGCTATTTCAGTTTTTTGTAATAGTGGGCTACATCACCAGTTGGCTCATCTTATTGCACATAAATGAGACCACAAAGCCTTTGGCTAGGTGTCCCTTTCTGGCAGCTAGATTCCTCCATTATTTCTCCATTTTGTATTATGCAGAATCTTATCCCGGAAGTGTGACATACTCATCTGATTTAGTAATAATTGCAGCTTCTGGTAAAGACATCTAACTAATGGAGTCCTCCTGACGTACACAGTATGGGTTCTATTCACGAAGCTGCCGAAGGATCTGGCCGATCCTTTGGCTAGCTTTGGCCCCATAACCCCTTCGGTTCAGTAGAACCGAAGGGGTGCTGTACGGGCTATTCACAATAGCCCGTGCAAACACTCCCACACGTGTAGTACTGCGTACACAGGTCCTCATGGCTTCAACCGCCTCTGCGGTCTTCGGCGTTTCCTCCCCCTTAGGGAGAAAGGCCACCATGAACGGTACCCTGTGTCAGGCATAGCCCCATTGCGCACCTACCCTCCTCAGATGGTTACAGCCACGATACAGTCCAACATCACACTCCTGTAGAACCCCACCTTCTCAGAGGTTGGATGGAGAAGAACCAGTCCACACAGATAGTCTTTCTGTTGGTTTTACTTGAAGGTATAAACAGAACAAAGTATACGTTTCAGCCACCCCCGGGTGGGATGACGGCACAATTCTTGTTACTTGCTAGGTATTACCATTTAGAGAGAGAGAGGTACATCAGCCCAGGTGCAGCCCAGAGTCCAAGACTTACTGCGGCCAAAGGCCCACTGGCAAATATGCGGCTTAGTGAATAGACCCCTATGTGACCTTCAACTACTCTACAAATTGTGATTCTTCATGTCAGCATCAGCAAACAATTACAATATCATCTGGCTTTTAAATCAGAGGTGCAAACAAAAATTCATAGGATCGTTGCTACATTCTAATACAAAATGGAGTCGTCTGACTCTGGCTGGTAATAGTTTATTGAATCCCTAGGTAAGTGTCGTAATACAGGCTTGAAGCAAATAAACAACTATAATAGAAATTTGATGAATAGAAAAAGTGATATATATTTTGTCTAAATGTACATTGTGTTTAGGGTTACAGAACACATCCCTTTTGGGGAATATCTGTAGCATTTTTGCCTTTAGAAAAGAGGATGAACAGCCAGGTCACCCAATAATGATTATTTTCATAAAGCCCTATGATGTATAATAATGATTCTATTGGATATTATCAATGTCCTTCAGTTTTAATCAGGATTAATGTAGCTAATGATCACACGTAAATATAAAAGACAAGGCACATAGCTCCACCTAGTGTCTGTGAAAAGGCATTGAGCATCTTTAAATAAAACCATACCTTAAAGGAGAACTATGAGGTGAGTGATTTTCACTCATCCTCATAGTTCGAGCCGACCTGTGACAATGAAACTGTCACAGGTCGGCTCAGTAGATGGGGAAGTGAGCGAACACATATCGTCGCTCGCTCACTTCTCGATCCTGTCCCTGCAGAGAGCCGTGACTGTCACTCACGGCTCCCTGCAGGGATTCCCACCCTCCCCGCTCCGATCCTCCAGCGCTGACTGGAGGAACGAATGGGGGAGGAGCCGGGGTACAGCTGGCTCTGCCTCTAGATAGGCAGAGCCAGCTGTCAATCACGCAGCTGGGTGGATCTCGACAGTAATGTCGGGATCCGTCCCGGCTGTGGCGGTCTCAGTATAACGCAAGCTGTAGCTCGCGGTATACTGAGCTTTTGGTCACGGGAGGACGCTAGTATATGTCCTCCCGTGACCCTGAAGAGAACTATGGGGAAAAGCACTGACCCCCATAGTTCTCCTTTAAAGTACAGTATAAGTCAATACCGCGCAATTAATGAAATAAGTTTATGAATATAAAAAGAATGATTCCAGCTCAACAACACAACTGTCCCAAAATAACAGGGTAAAAATGTAATTTAGTATACAAAATAGATGTTTAGGTGACAGGATGGCTAATCAAATCCATATGTTCCCTTTTTTTAAACTAAATATATGGCACAAATTAAAGGCAGTACATTTGCAGTTAATGATAATAAAAAACAGCAACCAATCATAACTGATCTCTTATCTGTTTAGAATCAGCTACGGCACTGCTACAAGTTAATACACTATGCCCTTTGCTTTATTAAATAAACCTACAGACAAATTGTTCACTATATAAAAGTATATAAACTGTATATATATATTCACTTTATTTTATTTTTTATATATAATCTTCGCCATACGGAAATGCAGAATAAAACTATGTCTACAGATGTTAGCTGTATCTATGCTTTGTGTGTGTTGTTAGAAAGCATGTTGCAGGTTAACTGACTAAAGGCAAATAGGCTGTTCACTTTGCAAAGGAATTTTCCTTTTGCTTAGTGAATGAGGTAAAGCTTTGGTGACATCAAAACAAAAGGTGAGAGTAAATATTCCAATGGGGGCACCTACTCCAGTGACCATTGTCTAAGATGAGAGTATCCCTCACTTTAGAGAGGCCGTGAATTGTTTTCCTAAAGGCAAATAGGCTTTTCACTTTTGCATGGAAGTTTTCACTTAGCTTAGTGAATGAGGTGAAGCTCTGCTGACCTCCATCATCGTGTGCAAGAAAAAAAATATATATTTATTTCATTTTACTCGCACATGATTGCATATTCTTTTGCAAAATGAATTTTCACCACATTCACTAAGCTAATGGAAACTTCCCCTGCAAAGTGCAAATCCCCATTTGCCTTTAGTAAATCAAACCCAACTGAGTCTATATTTTGTCAGAGCTGTTAGAAGAGCACACCTTAGACATGGCTGCAGATGCAGCACAGTACCCTATGGCAAAAGGGCAAATATGTGCTATTAGGCACGTAGACAAAAAATAAAAAGACTGTTACTTGACTACTACATTGTGTAAAAATGAATTTAAAATAACATATATTCTATAGCATAAAGTATAATAAATACCCACCATATGTTGATGGAGTGGGCTGGTGTGCTGACAGATTATAATACCTCAATATGCAGGTATCTCTTAAAATTGCAGACAGCTCCTAAAAACATAAACATATTTATTATTTGTGCAAAAAACTGAATGCTGCAAATGTGCCATGGGTGTTTAACTAACAGGCATCTCCTATGTGCATATATACTGTTGCTCTGTGGTTTGGGGCAGAGGCAAGCTGTTCACTACATCTATGTAAATGGTCTGAATCTACAAGGAAGGGTGAGAAACTCCATCTGAGTTGTTGGGGGTTACAGTGAGGGGTGCTGAGTGTGGAACAAGTACTTCACACTTAAGCCACATTTTACTTCCCTGTGTTTTAATAATGTATGCTTGGAAAAGCAGTTTACCAATGCATCTTCCATAGGGATTAATGGTACTGCTATTAAAATGCATTAAAAAAATACAACAAATGAGCAATGCAAGTGTGAATGGGCCCATAATGTGTCATGTGAGAGGGTATGGTTGTAGCAACTGCTCACATTCCTTTAAAAGAAAAAGAGATATTTGTTTTGGATGGACAGACCACTCAGTTGAAATAAAATAGACCTATAATGTTATATTAGACACGGCATTTGTCACTATGAATCTGAAAATGCTACAATTCATTCTCAGCGCAATATCAATTACGACAGAAATCCTCTAACCCCACAGAGGGTGGCAGAAGTAATCAAAACCAGGACCACCAAAGGCCCAGACCTGACACTGGTGCAGGAATTTAGGTCTATTTCTAACCCATTGAAAGCATTTTGTCATATACAACACTATTTCATATATAAACCTTTGTTAAATTTTGGCATTCGCGGATGTTGTTCATTTAATATAGAAACATGGTGACGCTTTATAAAAGACCTTGAACCATGGACTCAAATGTGTATGTAATTATGATAGAAAACTTTAAAAATGATAGATTTGAATGCTAAATCTATATGAAAAGCGACTATAGCTGAAGCAAAGTAATTTATAATAGCTAATCAAATTATTTATTCAGTGGAGTAAAAAAAAAAGATAATTAATGGATTGCTACTATGGTGTACTGGACTAAAATGATATCAGCCTGCCACATATTGGCAGGGAATAAAGGGCTGACCATTCTTCTGTCAGACACCACATAAAGGACACCCAGGTAGCAGATGGAGGAGAGCATCCAGTCTTGTTTGGGCTTCCTCATGGATCAATCAGAAGCGTAAATTTTGTATTTTAAGGGCATCACAAGCTCTGTTGTCACCTTATAAATATTTTTAGGCCAAGTCAGGTTTACTTTAATAAGCTTCACAGGATTTTATGCAGGAGTGACATCCCCTGAGAGTGAAATGACTGCAGTCTGCCCAAGCTTATTATAGAAAGTGTCATTACGGAATGACTGAGCAGACTATCACTCATGGGCTCCAATCTCTCTGGACATTAAGAGATAACCCTGGAAAGGGAAGCATCTAATGTTTAATTTCTGTGAGATGTATTTTAATGAAAAGGGAATAATCTGGAGATACGTACAGGAAGTTCCTCGCAGAGATATGCCACATTTGTCTGAGATGATTCAATACCCGCTTCTGCTGCCAAGATGAAATGCAAAAAAGCCTCATTTCTGTTGAAAACAAGCAAACAAATTTAAATATTAATTCTGAGGAAAAATGTCAGACCATGCAAAACACCACAATGGGTTTTGTTTGCATTATCAAAAGAAAAGAGTCTGCTGTCTAATTGGTTTTTAGGAACAACTCACATATTTTCTTTAAAGGCACTTTTTACATGTGAATATAGTTGGCACCTTATAGAGTCTCAATCATGGAGAGAAGGGGGGCATATTGCTGCAGGTATGAAATGCAGACACCAAGAGGAAGTATTCCTCCATCTCCCCACCCCACCACAGACACACACATTGTGACTGGCCAGTCACAATGATGGGCATCTTCAGTGGCCAACAGAAATGCGAAGGAGGCTGGAGAGGGCAGGCAAACCTCATGCTGACTCGTTGCCAATTACAACAGCATACATTTTGGTTGTGATAGGAAAGGTTGAGAGGCTGCTGTGGATATTTTCGGGAACCTCTAGATACCTCCACTTTATATAGTATTTTGCACCTTTTCATGCCAGTGACACAGTTTCTTTATGGATCTCATCCCACAATTTAGGGTATCAGGGTTTTTACCCCAAGATTTAGGGGGCCCCAATTCATTACTTTGTTTTACACTGGCTCTGGTTATCACTTATTTTCTTATAAGTTCTGATCATAGCTTGCAAAAAATACCAATGTTTATTTTAATTAAATGTGTCTTTATTATATTTCCAAATATAACAAAGCAAAGGGTGATATTACATAAGCACAGGGAAGAAGGAGAAGAGCATAGCTAGAAGCAGGGCTTAAAATTTCAAGTCCTAAGCTACTAGCCAGGCCTTAAAAGTTACTCGCCACCAGTTTCCCCACTTAACACCTACCCTGCCCCGGCCTTAACTCCGCCAGTTCAGCGGTGTGATGCAGAGTACAAAGATCAGTAACAACGCACAGTACAGAAGTCAGTGGTGCAATGCAGAATACAGAGGCCAGCTGCTGCTGCAACGGCCAAGAGGGGAGAGATTAAGTGCTTGCGGCGGGGGGGGACGTTTGCAAAGGTATCAGAGAGGCCCGAGGGGCAATTGCTACCCTGCCTCCGGGCCTAGTCCACCCCTGGGCCAGACTAATCCAGCATAATAATATTATGTTAATCATAATATGAGTGCCCCACTCAATATGCCCCTTGCATGCAAGGGGCATACTGAGTGGGGCAACTCAGATTAATAACGTCCAAAAGATGTGGACTGGGAGGGGGGGCTCTTTAATACTGCTCTGATCACACCGCTGAGCGATCGATCCCTCTCTCTCCTCCTGACCTGCTTCAGCTCCACAAAGCGGGCACTCAGAAAGGCGGCTCTGATCACACCTGTCAGCGTTCCTTCTCTCTCCTCCTGGCCGCTGCAGCTTCAGAGCGGCTGGGAGGAGAGAGAGGGAGCGATAACAGGACGCACCCCATGGGCGAGTGGAAATTTTGAGGCCTGGCTAGAAGTATATAGAAACAAGACACTACACTGTAGATAAAGGAGTAAGAGTCCAGTCTCCAAACAGGTCTTGTTTGCCTGCACTTGTTCTCACCATTTTGCTGAAACTGTCTGCTTTTTGTCCTGACAATTGTCTGTGGACTTACACGACTCTAGAATTTGCTAAGCTTGTTAGCTGACTGTCTGCCATGGTGACTCAGTGGGTCCACCAAAATCCATGACAAAAAGTCACCGATTGCTGGAGATACACAGATTGGTGTCACACACATTCCATTATATTATTGAGAACTTTCCACTATCCATTTTATA